AAATGGTTCCCTTGTGGGAAAACTTCTAAGGTTAGCTTATTAAATTACGTCACCCCCACCGCGTGAAAATGTGACAGTTTTTTATAAGAATTTATTGTGAGATAAGATTAAAAAAAAACAAGAAAGGAAGCTAACTTCGGCACGCCGAAGTTTATATACCCTTGCAGATAGAACTTCGATGACTAGGAATCCATACAATATTAATTATTTATCTTTGTGTTAAACAACAATAAAGTAATACCTGATTTCATTTCATTCACCTATACATATTATATTTGCTGTTTTAGATTCACTGATTTGCATTTTGCTCTACATCAAACGATCGTTTGTATGGCACATATATGATATAGTCGTCCGATTTTCATAAAATTTGACACAAAATTTAAGACTGATATAAAATGGTTATACCTCAACTTAAATAAAAAATTTGTTGAAAACTAAAAATATAATTTTTAATTGTATTAATTTTTTGATAGTTCCTATGGGAGCTATATGATATAGTAGTCTGATATTAATAAAATTGTACACAAAATTGTAGAGTATAATAAAATGACTATATCTCAAATTTGATCAAATTCTGCTGAAAACTGAAAATGTTATAATTTTTTTTGTAAAAATTTTCCGATCATTCCTATGGCAGCTTTATGATATAGTCGTCCGATCTCGCCCGTTCCGACATATATACGAGTGAGAGTATATAGAAAGCCAACTACAAAGTTTCATTCAGATAGCTTCAAAACTGAGAGACTAGTTTGCGTAAAAACGGACTGACGGACATGGCTGTTGATCCTGATCGCGAATATATATATATGGTCTGAGGACGGGAAGGAGGCACCTCCGACTATATAAAGTATATATATTCTTGATCAGGATCAACAGCCGAGTCGATCTAGCCATGTCCGTCTGTCCATCTGTCCGTCTGTCCTTCTGTCCGTCTGTCCGTTTCTACGCAAACTAGTCTCTCAGTTTTGAAGCTATCTGAATGAAACTTTGTAGTTAGCCTTCTATATACTCTCACTCGTATATATGTCGGAACGAGCCGTATCGGACGACTATATCATATAGCTGCCATAGGAATGATCGTAAAATTTTTACAAAAAAAATTTTAACTTTTTCAGTTTTCAATAGAATTGGATCAAATTTGAGATATAGCCATTTTACTAAACTCTACAATTTTGCATAAAATTTTATGAAAATCGGACTACTATATCATATAGCTCCCATAGGAACGATCGAGAAATTAATACAATTAAGTTTATAACTTCTTCAGTTTTCAGCTGATTTTCATCAAACTTGAGGTACAGCCATTTTATAAATTAAATTTTGTGTCAAATTTCATGAAAAACGGACGACTATATCATATAGTTACCATACAAACGATCGTTTGATGTAGAGAAATAATGCAAATCAGTGAATGTAAAACTGCAAATATAATATGGATAGGTGAATGAAATGAAATCAGGTATTACTTCATTGTTTTTTAACACAAATATATATAATTTATATTGTATGGATTCCTATTCATAGAAGTTCTATCTGCAAGGATATATAAACTTTGGCGTGCCAAAGTTAGCTTCCTTTCTTGTTTTTAAGAAAAACATCCGGTTGAATTTTTCTTTAATTCAGGGTTGCGTAAGTTCTTAAATACTATAAAATACCACAATATTTGACTATTATTTTTCAATTTTGTATAACAAAATATTTGTAATATATTTTTTTTTTACAATAAAAAAAATGAAAAAAAAGAACCATACCATATTTACTATTTGGAAAATATATTTTTTAAAAGTTAGGTGTTAATAAAATAGATTCTGATATGCTATTAGGAGCCAATTTATGTAAGAGCTTATGAAACTAAGAGCTAAACAAACTAATAGGCTCGGCAATCTATAAAGAGTACGAGAGCACGCGAAATTGATAGAAAATTTTAACTTTATTATCTGACAACCTTTTATTTTTAAAATGTATCAGTTTTTAGAACCTTCCTATATGAATATATAGTTACTGTTCGGAGCAGACGGCTAGCGCCTAATTGTGCGCGCATGGGTGTATGGCTGCACCTGCTGCGCTCTTTACTTCTCTTTCGTTATCTATTTATCTATCTCTTCTTCTTCTGTCGCCTTATCTTTATGCTAAGCTACATTGTAAGCGTTTTGATATATATGTTAAAAACTAGGCATTCGATCGGTAGTTGCAGCTCCGACCAGAGAAGTGAAAAAAATAAAATACAGCATATAATCGACCAATTCGTGCGTTCGTAGTTATTGCTCAAGGGTGGCAAATTTGTTGTCTTCCCCATAAACATTTTGGTGACCCCGACGTGATTCTTTGGTTCGGAGCCTGCAACCCGGTGTTCGTTGTTTAATATCGTTTAAACAAATCGCTTTGCTTCGCTGTCGCTTACTGGCATTCGGTCATAAGCACACAAGCAGACTCACATACACACATACCTTGTACATAACAAGCTGAGTGCATATAGCCGGCCGCTGATTTTCGGTTTAATCGCGCTGTTTAACAAAAGCTGTGTTGTGCCAAACATTGTACAGAAAGGTGGCTCGCGCTTAAGCGTCGTTAATAGCACCTTTTGAACATATATATACTTATGCATATATAGCATAGACGTGCGTGTGCCAAAACTCCGCTGTTTCGAGGCAGACAATTGCAACAACAACATTGTCGAGGTTCCGGTGCATATCGGTGACGCTGATTAACCTAAATTTGGGCGGTGAAAACTAAACGGGTTCCTATATACCGAAGCGGTCAGACATTTTCCCTTAATTAAATTTTTTCGCGTGAGAAAATAAAGATGGCTACAGAAAATTCGGTTCAGCATCAAAATGAGCCGCCAAGTGACGTGGACTTTTACCGAGCCAAGGCCCAATCCCTTTTGCGGCAATTGAGCTCGATGAATTATTTCATAAATCCGGAGACGGTAGATCAGTTTGATGAAGCTGATTTACTGGCGCGACTGGAGTGGATTAATTCATTAAATTTGGCCTTTGATTCCGCACAGACTTCGCTGGAAAAATTGCCAATTTTGGAGATAGCTCGGTTCCATGGATCCTACTCTGATTGGCCGGATTTTATTGCAACGTTTAGCACGGTCATCGGAAACGACGAAGAGCTAAGTGATATTGAAAAATTGCAATATCTAAGGTCAAGTTTAGGCGGTGTGGCTCTAGAGACCATACGTTCGCTTGAGCCCTCGAATGCCAATTATACAGAGGCTTTGGACTTACTCAAAAATCGATTTGATAATAAAGTTCTACATTTTCAGGCACACGTACAGGCAATATTTGGGGTAAAAGGTGTCGAGAAGGGATCAGCCAAGGGTCTTCGGGAGTTAAGCGATTGCATGAATTCGCATCTGCGAGCAATCCGTACCATGGCAACTACGCAACAAATCTTGGACGGATTGCTGATTCACATCGTCGCACGGAAGCTCGATCAGAGGACGCGGGAGAAATGGGAAGAGGATTTGTCCATCAACAACCTAGCTACGTGGGATTCTATGGAGTCGTTCTTGCAAAGGAGGTGTAGGATTATGGAAAATTCGGATCAAGCCTTTGTAACGCAAACACCAAGCCGGCAGGTGGGAAAAGCCCTGCATGGGTATAGCTTCATTGCTTCAGTTGGTAGCTCAAATCTTCCCCTATGTACGTTTTGTGATGCGAGGGATCATTATTTGCCAAAATGCTCTCGATTTCTAAATTTGAGCCCGAATCTTCGATTTAGAGAAGCAAAGAAGTTGCACCTGTGCCTCAACTGTTTGCGCAAGGGGCATAGTTTGCAGCAATGCAAGTCAACGCACTGCAGATACTGTCGAATGAAGCACCACTCATTGTTGCATTTTAATCAGGACCCATCTGTACCATCCACCGCCTCATCTCTATCATCCGATCCATTTCCCAACTCTCAGCCAGCATCATCACGTTCATCATCGCATTCATCGTCGCATTCATCATCCCAACCTAATCACCGTTCATCGAACCCTCCACCAAGCCCCACAGATATTTTGCCTGTTGATTACGTGTTGCTTCCAACCGCGATCATATATTTGAGAAACAAGGCTGGAGAATTTATGCCTTGCCGAGCAATCTTAGACTCGGCTTCTCAACTAAACGTCATAACGTCTCGTCTAGCGAATCAACTTAATTTGAATTGTAGAAAGTCGCATACCCTGGTCGCTGGGATTGGGGCATCCTCTTTGAATGCTGATACGGCAGTTGACATTGTAGCGCAATCCCAGGATGCAAGCTATCGTGCCTCATTCTCCGCGGTTGTGACTGACAGTATCGCTGATTATCAGCCTCATTTTAACATAAATGCCACATCGTGGAAAATTCCGCAAAATATTTCGCTTGCTGATCCTCATTTTAATCGTTCAGAGCGGATTGATCTTATAATTGGTGCTGGACTCTTCTTCAAAATAATGGCTGCGGGACAAATTTATTTGGGTAGCGCGTTGCCAACCCTTCAGAACACCAAACTTGGTTGGATCGTGTCTGGAGGGCTGCCGAGTGCGTCAACTCCTCAGTCTGTCTCAGCTGCCGTCGTCAAGGATCCACAAAATCGCCAAGCTAGCCGTTCTGCCCCACGATGCCGATGAAGTTGGAACAGTACCTCTTCCAACGGGGGGAGTATGTTCGGAGCAGACCGCTAGCGCCTAATTGTGCGCGCATGGGTGTATGGCTGCACCTGCTGCGCTCTTTACTTCTCTTTCGTTATCTATTTATCTATCTCTTCTTCTTCTTCTGTCGCCTTATCTTTATGCTAAGCTACATTGTAAGCGTTTTGATATATATGTTAAAAACTAGGCATTCGATCGGTAGTTGCAGCTCCGACCAGAGAAGTGAACAAAAATAAAATACAGCATATAATCGACCTATTCGTGCGTTCGTAGTTATTGCTCAAGGGTGGCAAATTTGTTGTCTTCCCCATAAACAGTTACCTTTAAATGCTTATTTTATAAAAATAAATAATTACACATATATTTTCAGATTTCACTGTATAACTTTATATTGAAAGCCATTACATTACATTACGTGGAAAACCGTTTTGAAAGACTAATAAGGTAAGCAGCTTCTTACATATGTAATTATTCCCTACACCCATTGCACTGTGGGGTAGACGATTACTTTTTGTGTCATTAATTTGTAACTTTAAAACGAAGTAATATTTTTAGGTTCTGTTTTTTTAATTAATTTCATTATAAAATAAGAAAGGAAGCTAACTTCGGCACGCCAAAGTTTATATACCCTGGCAGATAGAACTTCAATGACTAGGAATCCATACAATATAAATTATATATAGTTGTGTTAAAAACAACGAAGTAATACCTGGTTTCATTTCATTCACCTTTACATATTATATTTACAGTTTTACATTCACAGATTTACATTTTTCTTCTGCATCAAACGATCGTTTGTATGGCACCTATATAATATAAATACCTATATGATATAGTTGTCCGATTTTCATGAAATTTGACACAAAATTTGAGACTAATATAAAATTGCTATACCTCAAATTTGATGAAAATCTGTTGAAAACTGAAAAATTTATCATTTTTAATTGTATTAATTTCTCGATCGTTTCTATGGGAGCTGTATGATATAGTAGTCCGATTTTCATAAAATTTTACACAAAATTTTAGAGTATACTAAAATGGCTTTATTTTGAATTTGAACCAATTCTGTTGAAAACTAAAAATGTTAAAATTTTTTTTGTAACAATTTTCTGATTATTCCTATGGCAGCTATATGATATAGTCGTCCGATCCGGCCCGTTCCGACATATATACGAGAGAGACTATATAAAAGGCTAACTACAAGGTTTCATTCAGATAGCTTCAAAACTGAGAGACTAGTTTGCGTAGAAACGGACAAACGGACAGACGGACAGATGGACAGACGGACATGGCTAGATCGACTCGGCTGTTGATCCGGATCAAGAATATACATACTTTATATGGTCGGAGGTGCCTCCTTCATTGCGTTGCACACTTCTGACTGAAATTATAATACCCTGCAAGGGTATAAAAACGAAGGTCTTTTGAGAAGAATGAGGGTGGTCCCGTCATATTTTAAGTATTTAATTTTTTTTTATAGTGTAAAAATGTTATTTTTTGTACTATATTAACTAGTATTGCAAAATAATATATTTTTTAACATTGGTACTTTTTCAAAAAAAATTGTTTATCCTCAAATAGAACATTCAATACAATACATTCCAACATATTTTAACACAAAAACAATACATTTAAGAAGTGCAGAGAGCTGCACTCACTTTGTAGCTCTACCTAAAATTTAGAATAGTAGTAACAGGTGGCGAGGCCAATTCCTAGATCATCCAATTAGAGCTAAGCTCTTTTTTGGTCCATTCCTCCTGTTGTCTACTTTTTGTCACGATCACATTCAGTACTATTCTAAGTCAATAAGGAAGCCTAGGATTGCTGATACTTTCCTATACTTTCCAGTGACTGGTAGGCACCGAAGTGAAGTAGTCTGCTGTCGTTTACCGCTGGGCAAAAGCAGAGCATTTGTTCTGGTGTTCCTTGTTCTTTAGTTTGCTTGCAGCTTCTACATATTGGATTTTATGGCAAAATCCAATAGCTTAATGTCCTGTGGTGACCGCCATGAACTTGCTGATATCGTGTTTAATGTTGAATAACAGTTCCAGTTCCAGTTTTTGTCGAAGCTCGCCCAATATTTCTTTGACCTCCTGTGCTTACTCTTCTTTAACCATTCCTTTTCGGCAGTTTGTTTGAAATGGTCGTGGATCCTTGTTATGGTAGACCGTTATCTCTTGGTCAGTGCCTAGCCCTGCAAAGCCTACTCGGGCTAGTTCGACTGCTTTTTCGTTCCCTGGGATATCATCTTGTTCCGGTACCCGGATACTTGTACCTAATTTTTCTCATAAAGTTAATTAAGGGCCTTCTTGTATTCTGCCACTAGCTGTGAATTGGTTTTTACGGGAGTTAAGGTTGTGATAGCAGCTTGGCTATTGGAGTACATCCGCACTTTGGTATCTAAGAGTCATCGCGGTATTGAAAGTCTGGCTGCTTCCCTTATTGCGAGCAAGTCGGCCTGAAAAATGCACTTCAATCCCACAGTCCATACGCCACGGCTCATCAAGGAACCGCCGGTGTTCGTCGTCCTCTACTCTGTCCCTGCTCCAATTTTGTTGGGTCGTAAATACGTTATCCAAGTTCAACTCTGCAGTGCATTAGCAGCAGCTTGGGGCTATCAGAACTCCGCTCCCATCCACTGCCACGAATCTGGCCGGGTTAGGTGTTCTGAGATCAGAACAGAGAGACACATTAAAGTGGTTCTTAATTACTATACATGTCGTCGACCTACCATTTGAGTTTGTGAGATCCTGAGATTAGCTGAATCGTGCGAGCTGCGCTTCAATTTAATCGGCACGATTCTCGAGATCGATGTTTTTTGGGGTAGCATCAGGGGATGCTCATGTCGTGCAACAGTTTGTTGGTGTCATCGACCTCCTCCAGTATCTCGTCCGGCCAGGAAGACCTTTATCTTGGCCTTCCTAATGCCGTACCTGACCTTGTGGTCATTGGCTTCCAGCTGCACCAGGCAGCGCTGGTTGACCAAGAGGAGGAAAGGTTGGCTTACCTTCATCTCCTGTTCCGCTTTGAGGATGGTCCAGTCCTCCGTCAGAGTTCTGGGTTTTCAGCGAATGCGAACTTTACATAAACGGTAGGTCCTAACTACAGAGAGATTCCGCATGATGCGGAATCTGTCTAAAAAGTCGGACTGTATTGGGTCCTCTTTGAAGAGATCCACCACATCGATCCTCGCCACCGAAGAGCTGGCCATCCACCCGACATACCGGAGACGGCGGACAGCGACCGTAGGATCACGGTCTGACATGAGAGTACGGCCAGGCAACTAACGAGCCTGAACCGACCACTAACGCTCGGAACCATCGTAAGCACAACGCTAATTTCGATCTCCCCGTGGGAGCACCCGAGAAACACAACCGCACTGTTTGAAACAAGTCACACCTCCGCTTAATCGAGTTGTAGTATTTGTGTCGGTATTCTTAAGGTATTTTCAAAACCTAAGAACGCATCCACAGTGCTTTTTATTTCGAATGCATTGATTTGCGGTTGTGGTGAAATGTTCGTTGAAATGTCGCTTGAGTACAAACAGAAACTTGACATTTTGCATAATTTGTGGTACAATATTGTGCTATTAACTCTGTTGACCACATAAATGCAACGTACTATAAAATGCTAATTTGATTATGACGTTCCATAAGTAGGCTCGACAGATTGATACAATGGGAACGTAACTAAGTAGCGAGAAGTTTTTATTGATAACATGGCAGTTGAATTAACAAATGACTACTATTTAATGTTAAGGCAATACTTTAATAATGATATTGATGAGTATTACAAAATTTGTTCTTAAACAAATAACGACTGTTTACTTCGATGTTTTTTTAAATTTTGGACAAGCTAACTATATTGACCCATAGTTGGCAATACTTTTTAGGACTCAGGCGGACTGTCAAATCATAAATGGATTGATTTTTTTTAAAACCAGCACTACAGCGCATAAGTCGAAATCTTGTGAACGACACGAGAAAAAGTCCTTAGCACAGTTTGTCGACGTCAGCGTACATAAATACTACGTATGAAGTATATAGCGGAAGCGTATTGAGCGTCGTGTATGTTCTTACACAAGTTCGAAATTGCGATAAATCTACGAAATGAACGTGATTGATTTAAAAGTGTTTTCGGTCGTCCAGCTGAAAAGGTAGCTATCAGACTTGGGCCTGCCAACCAAAGGTTTTAAAACTGAATTGATTCAGGAAATGTTCCAGACAAGGATGAACTTCACACAGCTGCGAGCAACACTCAATGCGTTGCAACAAGCAGAAGCGCGTGGTTCCATATAACAACAGCGAATTGAAGAGCTCAACACTATGCAATGAATACAGATACAACAGCAAGAAGAAGCAAGCGCCGCTTCACTAATATAACAGCAAGAAAACACACGCGCCACTTTACTAATACAAAAGACGCGTGGCGTCATACAGACACAAGAACAAGAAGGTGCCGCCAGCCAACAACAACGTCAAGCTGCAGCAGTGACGGCACCCAGGGATACATACTCTGTACCAGGGCTGGATCACTCTCCTTTTTCGAAGGCCGTAGTTGCGCAAGAAACTGGGCGGATCACCTCAAGAACCTTGGCCAGATTTACAATCTTGACAGTGACGGCCTACGGATGTTGCTCGTCTACAAACTGAAAGGCAACGCGTAACTCTGGCTACACGCCAACAATACACGAATGCTGAATTCGTGTGAGCTGCTGTGCGAGCAACTGATCGATGCATTTGGAGAAACAGCGTCCGAATCAGAAACGTCGTCAATTTCAGCAACGCAAATAGACTAGGGACGATGATGTCCCAAACCAACTATGCACCGAAAACGTCGACACCAGAGGCGTCGGAAGCCAACAACTTGCGCTGCAGGAACTGCAACTATAAGTACCACTGGGATCCTGCTATGCTTCTGGAGAGAAGGTCCATTTCGTGGAAGAATGCCGTCAAAGGAAAAGCAATAACGTAAGCAACTACTATGTGAGAAGGTTAAGATTTTTTATACCCTTGCAGGGTATTATAATTTCAGTCAGAAGTTTGCAACGCAGTGAAGGAGGCACCAGGATCAACAGCCGAGTCGATCTAGCCATGTCTGTCTGTCCGTCTGTCCGTTTCTACGCAAACTAGTCTCAGTTTTGAAGTTATCTGAATGAAACTTTGTAGTTAGTATTCTATATACTCTCACACGTATATATTTCGGAACAGGCCGGATCGGACGACTATATCATATAGCTACCATAGGAATGATCGGCAAATTTTTACAAAAAAGTTATAACATTTTTAGTTTTCAACAGATTTTCATGAAATTTAAGATATAGTCGTTTCATATTATTCTACAATTTTGTGTAAAATTTTATGAAAATCGGACTAATTTATCATATAGCTCCCATAGGAACGATCGAGAAATTTGAGAGGAATGAGAATGGCGGTGGCTGTTGT